TGGAAATCCAGGACAACCAGGAGCCGATGGAAACCCAGGAGCCCCAGGACAATCCGGAACTCCAGGAGGTGCCGGAGAGAAGGGAATCTGTCCAAAGTACTGCGCTATCGATGGAGGAGTCTTCTTCGAGGACGGAACCCGCCGTTAAGCATTCTTTTTTCATTTCAAATAAATCATTTTCAATTAAAAGTTGTACTACATTTTATAAAAACTTCAGCAAACTCGGATAGCTTCCAAAGTGACTTCAAGAGTATCACCAACAACTACGAATTTAATTGACCTTTTTTCTCACAATTTTTTTTCGATTACGAATAGTTTTCAAAACTACAGATTCGAGACAATGTCCATAGATTGAATGTAAAATTTGTTTCTTTCGTCTCTCCAAAAAGTGGATTCGCACCTAAATGTTCCGTCTATCCATCCAGTTTCCACCGTAGATCTATATCTTGGAAGCTTGAAAAATTTTCAATCTTGATGAGGATCTTTTTATTTTTCCTTTTCCATATTTTTCGGGGGATGTCTTCTTCTTCCTTTCCACCGTCTTTTTTATTGGAACACAAGAAGGACACGATGGTTCCCCGATTTCCTCGTTTTTCATTCAAAGTTCTATTGGTCTTACTGTTTGCTCTTTCTGTATTCATTCTATTCTATTCAGTTGTACGGGATGCATCCCCGGAAGTGTGAGTGAAGGTTACGGTAGTAATTTCAAAATTTATGTAGTTTCAGAATAAAGCATGTAAGACTGAATGGAAAACAGTTTACACATACATTCATTCACTCAGCATATTACTATCCATCATCGAAATCGTATGTCTGATATTCCTATTTCCAGAAGTTATCCTTGATTTTACAGACTTGGAAAAAATGCAGTTGCTCTTGTTACCACCATGAACAAAAGGACGGTTGGAAAGATCACTGACTACAAAATCAAGTTGGTTGGAACTAATAGGACAGCTAAATTCGAAAATCAAGCATGGGTTTCAACGTATAACTTTGAAAACATGTCAAGCATTTTAGAATAAATAATTTGCAGAGAGCACCGACTGTTTGAGAGATGTGATTATCTTCTTATCACAGCGCAATCTAATATGCTGGACAATATGGAAAAGCTGGAGATTGAGGCGGAAGGTGTACTTGTAGAGGTTCCAATCAAAAAACCGGTGATCAATGCTCCGAAGCCAGTCATTTTTTGTGTATCTCCACAATTTGCGGCAGAGCAGTGGCAAACATTCTTGGTTCAGCTTCATGTTTCCAAAAAGTTGGTTCTTCTGAATTTCTTTTCAATTTTTCTTTTTTCAGATATGGGGCACATCTTCATCTCTACATTGTTTCAATGGTTGAATCCTATTTCAATTTGATCCGAGAGTACCAAAAAATGGGATTAGTTTCTATAGAACCATGGCTCACTATCAAATTCCCAGTAACCGATGGTCCTTATCTGGAACCAAATCGTAATGTTGAGCTCCGAAATCAAGCTGCAGCTCACACCGATTGTCTTTTAATGTACAAAGAAGCAGCTAGTTTTGTTGGAATACTGGATATGGATGATATTCTGATTCCAACAAATGCCAACTCTTATTATGAAGAATTCGAAAGAGAATATTCAGGAGACTGGTTGATCAGTGCACTTCACTACGACAAATACGATTACAAAACTATCAAAGTGGGCGATCTTGGTTCTCAATCACTATCTGCCATCGTCAAAAACGCAGAGCGTCTTCCAACGAAGGACACTGGAAAGTCATTCCTCCGACCGGAGAGATTCAATTCAACTTGGAGTCATTGGTCAAGGGCAGCTGAGAAAGTGCCAATTTATTTTGATGAAAACGGAGAAAGATTGAAAGAACCAGTATTCCGAAAATTGAAAACTATCAGTAACAATGGAATGTTCCATTTGAAAAATATGTACTTGAAGTCGTTGGATGAATTGAAAGGAGGGGAAATTCCGTTGAATCCAACTGGTCAGCTGGCTAAAATGATAAGTGATAATCATTTGAATGAAATCGATGAAGACATGAAAAAGTAAAATACAAGATTTATTCTTCATCCAATTTGTTTTCTTTTCAGAATGCTTTCCCTTCCACGTATTGCTCAGCTTGCTGATACATTGCCTCAAGAAGAATTCTACATGCCGATTATTTTCAACTGTTATAATCAGTCATTCTATCACCTTCGAGACACTAATCAAATGAGACCTAACATCCTTTGTGTCAATGCTTACAGTTGTGATCTACCACAAAGAGAAGATATGCCATGCGTTCATTCCGATGCCACGTACCACTCTGGACCTTCTATGTGGCCAATTACTTATCATTTCGCAACGAATGCGTTTTTCTCAAGAGATATTGGGTGCTACCAGTAATTCATTTTTTTGACAAAGCCGGGTACTATTGAATTTGAAATTCACGTCATTGCTTCTTTACAATTAATGTTTTCATATAAAAAGTTAGTCATAACCTGGTCGAGACTTAAAAGAAAACCTGATTGCTACTACAAATTCCAATAAAAATTACTCATCAGTCATCAAACAGTAATTTCGACTTCCAAAATGGTTTCTGAACATATTGCGAAAATCTTGGAGGGCAGAAAAACCATTTGATTTTTTTAGACAACGCTGTCTGAATTGTAATATTGAATATCCCAGATTGACAATATGAGAATATGCTAGATTTGAATGAAAATGATTTATTTGAAATGAAAAAAGAATGCTTAACGGCGGGTTCCGTCCTCGAAGAAGACTCCTCCATCGATAGCGCAGTACTTTGGACAGATTCCCTTCTCTCCGGCACCTCCTGGAGCTCCGGATTGTCCTGGGGCTCCTGGGTTTCCATCGGCTCCTGGTTGTCCTGGATTTCCATTTGGTCCCTTTGGTCCTGGAGCTCCTGGTTGTCCATCGTGTCCTGGTTGTCCTGGGGCTCCTGGTGGTCCTTGTGGTCCTGGGGCTCCTTGTGGTCCTGGTGCTCCTGGAGTGATTGGCTCGGATGGAGCATCTTGTCCTGGCTGTCCTGGGGCTCCTGGAGCTCCTGGGTTTCCGTTTGGTCCAGATGGTCCCTTGTTTCCTGGGGCTCCTGGTTGTCCATCTTGTCCTGGGGATCCTGGGTTTCCGTTGCTTCCAGCATCTCCAGCTGGTCCTGGTGGTCCTGGTGGTCCTGGTGGTCCTTGTGGGCATGGTTGGCATGGTGGTGGGGTGACTGGGTCACATGGTTGCTGTGGTGGGCGTCCTGGGTTTCCTGGGAGTCCTGGTGCTCCTGGCTTTCCTGGACGTCCTGGCTTTCCTGGAGTTCCTGCTGGTCCAGCAGCTCCTGGCAAGCAGCAAGCATCACATCCTCCAGCAGAGGCGGATCCTCCGTTCACTCCAGCATCGTATCCAGCTTGACGGGCGGTTCTGTTGGCGTGTTGGATGCTCTTGAGTTGGTTGACCTCAGACCAGATGTCCTTGGCGGATCCCTAAAATAAAGAATTGAAAAAGGTATCTAATAGGAAAGAAATATTGAAACTTACACGGCAGAATTGAACCTCCTGGTTCATGGTTCTCTTGACATGGTGAACATAGTTGTGCACCATTGGAAGAGTGATGCATACCGAAAGAACGGCAACAACCGAGAAAGCGACAGCCGAATAGGCCACGAAGCGGTAGGCTTTGATGCGTTGCTCAAACTCCATGTCTGAAGAACTGACGGTTTGACAGTCACCAGCCACTTCTTTTATACATTCTCCTCACCCTCGCCTTCGTCACAATATTACACCTTTCTACCGTTGACGCCGCCCGCTGTTCATCCCCCTCCTCCAACTTCTCACTTCTTCTAAATTCTTTTCTTGGCGGTTGGTCGTGTATTGGAAAGTCATATAAGTGCAAGTGAAATTTCTCATTATGACAGACGTCGAAGCAAGTTCACCCATCTTCATTGTGTCTTGTGTATGTTGTGCCATTTGTAATGAAATAGGTATACTGGGTGTCTTGAAGAACATGAAAAAAACAAGCAGGGAGGTATTTTTCGGTGGGAAGAAAAAAAGGAATCAGCTCCAAGGAGGAATGCATGATCCCATTATAGTGGACGGTTGATTAAGCATGAACGTTGGAAATAATAGAGACCGCCATGAGTAACAAATGACATGATCATGTTTCGAAACTCATCCAACCGTGTTTTAACAAAGTAAACGGTTCCTTGTTGAGTTACGTAACCATCAAAAATTCCTCAAATTAATGATCGGTATGGAAGAAAGGTTTCATGGAAGGGATTTCCAAAGTGTTGTAAAGTTACAGCGTTAGTTGAAATACACGTATTTCATGTAGACAATCAAATTTTCACCATTTTTACTGATGAAAGTAGAAAATTCTCTTTTTTACATTTAGAGCTTGATACTTGCTGCTTGCCAGGAGCTGTTGGATCAGCAGAAACCCCAGGTTATATAGCCCCATCAACTGATCTGAAACAAAAGTCTGAACTTCATCTAGCTCTTCTAATATACAGTCATAACAATATACTAATTGTCTGATTCTCACATATTTCCGCTAGACTTGAATACCCATTTTTTACTGTTAAGCATCACCCAATTGGAATACAGTGTTCACAATCTCATGCAGTCGAAACTTCTTCTTTTTTTTCATCCTATTTTTTATGATTATTTCCGAACAACAACCTTGAAGTATTCATCCTTTTGTATTCATCTTTTCAGTGGCCTTCAATGCCATACCAGAAGCTTCTTTTTCTTCTTCCTCATTTTTTTCGTTTTCAAATCCAATTAACCACATCTTCTTCCATTCGGATTCGATACAAAAAGCCGCCCGTTGGCAGGTGTTTAGTCGATTTTTTTGTCGGTTGTATCTGTTGCGTCTTGAGATGAAAACGAAACGACCACAATGAGGAAAATAGAGAGGGGAAATCGAAAAAAAAAGACAAGAAAGGAGATAAATTCAATCTGGGAAGGTCATCTGAAGGTTTGAATGTAGAAGCGAGTAATTAGAAGTTTCTTTTTTTGAATTCAACAAGATCAAACACCAGAAGAAAAAAATAGTTTATTATGTACACAATCAGAATGCATTGTATCGAAATTATTATGGATCATGGAATTGAGGAAAAAATAAAAGAAAAAATAAAAGAAAAAGTGAGGGAAAAAATAAATTCAATGGGAAATGTATGAAAAGTGAACTGAAAGTGATTGATTTCTGAATTTAGAGAGTGTTGAGTTGGGTGATGAGCTCGTCCAAGAACATGATAATCTTGTCCATTGAGCATGGACAATGTGCTTTCTGAAGCTGCTCGAAGGCGTACTTGCGTTTTCCTGTCACATCTTCGATATCTTGGATAACATCGAGATCGATGTCTACGGTCTGAAAAACTTTAAAAGTTGCATACAATTAAACTACCGTATTTCCTCTAATAGAATCCCACCCAAACCTGGAACATAGAGCTTAATCAGCTCGATTTCTATAAAAGATATCAAAATTTTGTCACCTGACAAAATGTTTATCATAACATCACCAATATTTTATCCGTTGACAAAATTTAGATATCTTTTACAGGAATTAAGATTGATTGAGCTCAAATTTGACGGTTTGGGTGGACTTCTATTAGAGGAAATACGGTACACCCGGTTTTCACAAGAAAAATATCCAACAAAAGTCTATCGAGCAAACTTATAAAAAATTCTAGAAGCGACAAAAAATGAAACAAGAGATGCATGTGAACTTTATTAAGAAGTTCGCAGAGTGTACAAATATGTTCTCTTGGCCTTTTTTGCAGAAAATTGAATTTCAAGAAAGAAATGTTTGCAAGGGTCCCACCTACTCAGTTATTCAAAAAAAATAATCAGAAGACAATTCACTTACATTGTTTTCATTTCCATTGAACAATTCGGTGACTTCTGTTTCGATCCAGTTCTCGACCTTCATACGTTTCCGGATCAGTGCCATTTGCTGTTTACCGTATTTCATGGTCAACACTCGGCTACGATCCTCCATTCGCGACTTGGAGTCACCGAAACGAGCATGCTTCTCACCAAACGGCATATTTTGGGATACTGAAAAACAATGGAGAAATCGGATGATGTTAGAAGAAACGAGTAATTGAGTAAGTGGGCACATGAACTATTATCGAATCATTTCTGTGTGCTCTTGATTCAAAAGAGAAAAGAAAAAAGACTTAAACATAGAAAAGATGGAGGAAGAAAAATAGGGAAAACACATCATCTGCGACTTTTCGAGAATTCTAAAATTATGTAAACATAGCTGAAACAACCAAAAACAGATGAAGAGTCAGGAGGATCGACATGCGAAACATCGGGTGTCAAAATGATGATTTTTTGAAAGAACAGGGAAGGTTTGAAATTACCGTATTTCTTCTAATAGGAGCCCACCCAAACTGTCAACTTCAAGCTCAATTATCTCGATTCCTGTGAAAGATATCAAAAATTTGTCAACTGGTAAACTTCTTATCAGAAAGTCACCAATAATTTTTCAATTGATAAATTTTTGATATCTTTCACAGGAATCGAGATAATTGAGCTCAAAGTAGATGGTGTGGGGGATTTCTATTGGAAGAAAACTACGTTAACTATCGGCTAAAATAAAAAAAAAATGTCGGAAGACCGAGTTCAAGAACATCAGAATAACCTCAGTAGTTTTCAGATGATATATTCATAATCAATCTGTACTTTCTGAATAGAAACATCCCATTCGTTTATAAAGAGTTCTTTTCAGAAAAGGGCACGTCACCCGGACCAGACACCTAACCTCACACGGCGATTTAACTCAAAACCCAGAACCAAAACATATCGAAAAGTGAATAGAAAAGAAAGAGCGAAACGATCAATGTATGCAAAATTATGTGGAAAGGAAAGGTGTGTTCGGTGGTCTCCATCCTCTTTCATTCGCCTATTTGTTCATAAGATTCACTCCTCCTTTTTTTGTGATGGTTTTGTCGGGTTTTCGCCGGTTTAGGTTCTTCTTCACAGTTTCCTCATTTTGCCTCATTTCATTTCGATTGATGGAATGAGAACGATCAGAAATTTCTGTTACCAACCGTTTTCTTGTTTCTGTTTTTCAGATATAAAAATTTTTTTGAGAATCAACGGGATACGTCGAAAGAAGAGGAGGAGGAGAAGAAGGAGCTCCCCATTTTTTATAGCTGAACACAAAAAAAACTGAAAAACAACACAAAAAAATGTATTTGAGAATATATATTCGACATTTTGTCGTCGGGGGCCCCGTCAATTCGTTTTCGTCTGATTCACCGATAGACGACGACGGGCGAATGAAGACATTCAACACAAAAATGGGTGGCTCCAAACATGTAACATATACGTGGGAAAGGGAGAAAATGGGGTGAAAGAGAAGAAGCGGAAAAACGACCATTAATTAAACATTGTTCAATTTTTTGGTGGGAAGTGGGGACCCGGCTTTTGAAGAATAAAACGCCCACGGATGACGAAAAAGGTTAAGGAAAACTAAAGAAATGTCCATGTGATTAGATCTCGAAGATATTTTCAGAAGTTCAGAGAAAACTGACATTACAGAGGAAGAAAAGAGTTCAGTGTAATCTATAGCATTTCTCAGAGAGAAAGTTGAAATTTAATTGAGAAACCACCTGCCGTTTCACTAGTTGATCTGACTTGGATCTCTGCTCCTTTCTATTTTTATTTTTAATTTACTTTCTCTCAGTTACATTTAACTTCTAGGTCTAAAAAGTATATATGAATAGGCTTCAACTGAAAAATGAGTTTCTTTGATTTCCAGGAACTTATTGGAATATATTTGCCAAAAAGCCAAAAAGCGGAAGCTGGAGATGAGATTGAATAGAAATAGCCCAAATAGATCTCAAAATAGAAGGGCAGATGCAGGACTGCAGGAGTGGGAGGAGGTTGAAGAAAAATAGAGGATCATCAATTGTCCTTGTCGTCCTTCTCGACAAAGAAGACGTCACAAAGTCTCTCTCAGGAGTAGTGGGACCATCAAATCTCGAGTTGAAAAAAAATAGAAGAAGAAGAAGAAGTATGAGAAAACGAGGGATGTCTCTGATTGAAACTTTGGGCGACAAAGAAGGATGGAGGAAGTGTACGTCTTCCTTTTTGCCGTCTTTACTCAACGTTTTTTCTCGCTTGGCGACTTCTCAGCTGATGCTTTTTGAGCCTTTTTGAGTAGTGTCGGATCTTGTCGGATAAAGTCAGTTAGCTGGAAATAATTGGTGAACTGGAACCAGCTTTTGCAGAGAGAAAAGTGTGATAGGTGGACCCTATCATTAGAGCATCAGAAGAAGCCTATCATCAAAGCCAATTTCAAAATGGAACCAAAATAGGAACCGCCCAGATCGTAAACCTTCAGAAACTCTAACAGAGATAGAAAAAGAAAAATGGTGTCGAAAAAGAAACATGGTGGTGTCTACCATTTTAGAATGATCGAAAAACTGTAACCTATAAAAAAGAATTCACAAACACAATAGGAGCAAATTCATAGGAAAAAAAACACAGTTTATGACGTTCAACTTGAAACACCATTTCGAGAGAAAACGTCAGAGATGCAAAGTGACATGAAAAAAGAAAGGGCAGAGACAGATGATTCATGATATGAACGCATCACGTTTACTTTTACTTTTAGGCTCCAAAACTAGTGGGGACGCATTGGAATGATAAGACTTTCGAGTGGTGCGAAAATTGATTATGATTAGGAAATAGTTAGAGTTTGTTTTGAAATATCGTAAAACCTAGAAGGGACCCTTTAATAGAAGGGTTCTTTTAATAGAAGGACCTTCCCAGAGATTCTTGGAAAAATAGAAAGGCCCCTGTTATAGGAGAGCATCTTCGAAATGTGTCTTTTGAAAAAAAAATTCCGTCCGTTTTTGGTGAAAAAATATTTCTGAAATTTCCTTATTTTACAGAAAATTGTTGAAACACTCTCTTTTTTGTTAACAAAATTGCTTAGTTTTGGTAGAGTTGACTATTCATTTTTAAATGAAAAATTTCGAGAAAAATGGCTGGAAAAATAGAAGGGCCCCCTGCAATAGAAGGGCCCTCCGAGAGGGGCTCGGAACAAAAGAATGATCGGCCCTTCTGATACAGGTTTTACGGTATCTTGTTGATCAATTAAGAATTATAAGTTTTGATAATTCTCCTAAAACTATATAATCAAGTCTGAAAACGAGAATTGATTACAAGATAAAACAAGTAACTTATAAGTTTTGAAAAAGAATTGTTGGTACAAACTTTTTTGACCTCAAAAACAGTGACCATTGTGTAATCCACAAGTAGGTTTACAATAGGAGGTTTAAAACTGACGTCTGTACACCTGTATTCATAGCATATACTGAAGGTCATCTCCAAAGCATCTGCCCATTTTTTTTTGAGGTATTTTCTGAATTGTTTGTCCAGGAAAAAACAACAAGCTGGACCTTTACTCGTTTGAAATGAATGCAACAGAGCAACAAAATGAGAATTTAGAGATACAAGAGAGCAAGAAAAGCAAAAGGAAACACGAGATGAATGAGATGAGCAATGATCCCAGGGGCATTTATTGAGGTTTAATTGAATTGTGACTTCACATCCGCCGTCCCTTCATTCATGTCTCGTCTTGCTCGTGGAACCGTGACTGGGTGGACAAATGAAGTGAGGAGCATCTTCCTCTTCATCATTTTCTTTTTTGGGCACTGCTCGTTTTTTTTTGGTCAGAATCAAAACCAGAAACGTTCAGTTAGTTCCACGCCCACTAGAAATGATTGAAGGGATGGGATTCGTCAGGGCTCATTTGGTATTAGAAAAACGGGAAGGAGGCGGAAAGGAAAAAGGAAGGAAACATAGTGTTTTAGATTCAGGTGAATGAAAAAAGAGCCACAGAGGGAGACAAAGCTTTTAGGAGTTCGGTCCGGTGTTTTTATTTCTGATGGATTGTTGTTTTCATCTTCAACAAACGGCTGCTCTTCGATTCAAGTTTTTCTTCTTGCTTAACAATCTGATTTAATTTACAGACTCTTCAAAAAGCTGGAGGGAAGTAAAAATAAAGGAAAGCAGCAACTTGCTGGCGAAAACAAATCGATAATACAGAACCGATACATTTCTCAAATATTGACATACATATTTCTTAGCGCCCTTGAGACTTTTTGGAAAAGAATGGCGAGAAAATAGGGATGAGAAAGAGAAGAAAAGGTGAATTGGAAACATAAAAAATTGTAAACAAGATTCGAAACTTAGAACCCGAATTTTCCATTTTTTTGCAGGCCCAAATAATCGTTGCTTTTCTGGTTTGTGAAAGTTAGTTATATCTAATTCATTGCTCCTAAGTGAAACCGAGTTCACATCACTTTCTGAAAGAGAATATTCAGGTTAACGAACACATTTGCTAAGAAATTCCAAAATCGTTTCAGATCTATGAATACTATGCCAACATTCTCGTCTGAAAAAAAGAAAATGGAGTAAGATAAGCTTTCGAAGCTGGAAAAAGAAGAATGGGATTACACTGACCAGTGCACATCTCCAGAGAAACAAAAATGTTATTATTAGCTGAAATCCTACTTTTTTTCATTCAATCGAATTTTTTTCTTTTTTTTCCGCAAATGACGATCAACAACATATCCGTAAAACCTGTAGTAGAAGGGCCCCCACACTGTCCAGTTTGGGCTCAATTATCTCAACTCCTCTACAAGATACCAAAAATGTGTCAACCGGCAGAAGATTTTTGACATTATGATAAACTATTCATCAGTTGGCAACTTTTTTTATATTTTTGACAGGAACCAAGATAAATTGGCTCAAATTTAAAAGTTAGGCCTCCTTCTATTACAGGTTTTATAGTAATTATATTTGAGTATCATCAGTGAATTTTTTAAACAATGTTTTATGGATTAGCAATCTGAAAATCTTATTGGAAACTTGGTAGTTTTTTTTCAACGATAGTTTGTGTTGTTTTTAACGCTGTTCCTTTTGTTGGTTTTTTTTTGAAGACACAATATTCATAAGACAAATGGAAGAAAAGATTTTGAAAAACTTCTGAGATTCATGTGGAAGCTGGAAAGCGGTTTAGAAGACATTGGAAGACGCGGAAGACCAATCACACTTTGACGACCATTTTCTCGTGAATATCCAAAGTTCCGACAACCTGAATTCAAGATTTTTGAAATTTTAAATCTGAAATTAAAGACGAGACAATTTCGAAAACCAACAAACAAAAAATCACAATGGAAGGTTTTTTTTGAAGTTAAAATGATCAGAAGACAATAAAAAACATCAAAACTTGGTTAATAGAACTCACAAAAGATGAGAGAACATTGACTAGAATGACGACGTGTGGGAAGAAAAGCTTTTTTTGTTGAAATGGGGGATTTTAACTAAATAAATATATAGATGTGTGGATGTTTTCAGCATAGATCAAATAGCGAGAAAGGACAGAAAGAGAGACAGGGAATTTTGAAAAATGACGGGATCATGTACAGGTGACGGATCTACAGGGAAGAAAAAGAAGAAGAAAGAGAAATCAGGGATGAAATTAAGAAACGGGATGGACTAGAAAGGGGCCATATGGTTTTGAACGAAAAAGCGGGTTAAAGCTGAGATGGGTCATGGTGTCCGGAGTTAGATGTTCTCGAGGACCATCTTCTTGTGCACTTCGGTGTGCTCAACAACCTGAAGATGGTTTGTGTTAGGTTAGAGTCAAAAAACTTCACGCGTTAGTGAAGCTCACTTCACTTTCACTTCACTTCAATAAAAAAAAAGAAAGCAACAAAAGAAGCACAATACTTACATCACAGAACTCCTGGAACGAGATCTTGCCATCTCCGTCCTTGTCGTGGAAGAGAATCGTTTTGTCGACGATTTGCTGGAGTTGCGAGTCCTTCAAGTTGTTTCCTACCATCATTTTGAGCACCTGCAAAAGCCTCCAAATTCAATAAATTACATCTATAAGATTTCCAACGTCACCATAATTCGTGACTAAAAAAGTACAGCCGACAATTCTAATTAGGTTTTCAAAATCACGAGTATACCCTATTGAGCTGGCTTAGACCTCAGCATACAAAATATAATCTTCTCTCTTTCTTCTTGTGTTGCGTGATATTGGACATACTAATACCCACCTGGAAGAGCTCTCCGTTTGAGATGAATCCATCACGATCCATGTCATAGATGCGGAAAGCGAACTTGAGCTTCGTGTTCTTGTCACCTTTCACACTGAACTGCGAGATTCCTTGGATGAACTCTGAAAAAAATTTAGATTTGAAGTCTCATTTAAAAATGGATTTCTACCTCGGAAGTCGACTTCTCCGTTACCATCCTCATCGAAAATATCGATGACTCTTTGAACCAATGGGTTCTGTTGCAACTCAGGCAACGACATGAACTCCTCAACGGACAACGATCCCGATCCGTCGACGTCAAGTTTCTTGAAGCGACGGGTGAGACGACGCAACTCGTAGGCATCGACTGGAAAGAAAATGTTGAGAAACAATTAACTTAGAAAAAAAATGTAAACTCACAGTTGCTGCACATCTCCATCGGAAGTGAGGCGTCGGCTCCCTGTAAGAATGGAAAAATGAGAAAATATATGGCATGTATTTGAAGTATTTGAACAGCACAGTTTTCGGTTGGGGAGGCGGGATAAATAGTGGTTTAAGTAAATAAACTACTTACCATTTTTGATCAGTTGTTTTTGAAGAGAGTTCAGCCGAACGAACTGGTTTCTGAAAAATGAATCAAATAATATCAGAAGTTGGACTGTTTGAATTGGGAAAAGAGAAGAAGAAGGTGAGAATGAGATCAAGATGAAAAAAAAAATAAAAAAAGGAAAGCAATGCCAAATCCATGACACTAATTCGTGAGCTAGAAAGCGACGGCGACGGCGTTTTTCCTCTGCTCGTGGAGTCGTGATCGACATGGCAAAAACGACGCCGAGAAGGCAAAAGAAGAAGAAGAGAAACAGCAGGTTTGAATGAGAAATTGATAAGTATGAAAAGAAATAAAACGCAGAAATGAGAGACTTCAGATGTCGCTTCGGAGGAAGAGAGTGCGGCAGAAGAAGAGAGCGTTTGAAAAGATTGGTCATATGAAAGAGAAACCAGTGGAGAGCCGCAGAGAAAGAAAGCGGGCGACGATCAATAGGCGGCTCCTGGAGGCCACCCCCGCCGCGGCGTCTCTCCTGAATACGCAATATTTTTCCGGCTGACTGGTCTTTCGGCTCAAAAGAGCTCGCGAGAAGAGGACGGGCGGAGAATAATTACGAACTCTATGCAGGCGCAACGTCCTGGAAGATGATGAAGAAAAAAAAGAATAAGAAAGAAGATCTGGGAAAGATTGAAAAGAATCGATGGAGTTTTTTATTAGGTGGATAGCTATAGAATTGGTTGGCTAAAAAGCCTTTTAAAAATTAATAACTGAGAAGGATACGAGAAAGGAAAAAGAGAAAAAAAGGAGAGAAGAGAAAGAGACGTATTATTAAATGGAGTGGAGACAACAAAGAGATTTATTTCCGTTTTTGAGAAGATGGAAAATAGGATAAAAATGAATTATAAGAAACATAACCTAGTCGGAGGGATCTCTAACGAATTGAAAGTCAAAAATCAATTCTGTGCAAAACTTCTTCCCCACAATAAATATCAGAACTAAAATCTGGCTATATTTTTTTGGGAATGCTTCAGAACATACGCCAATCAAATCCCTACTTACTTGATTGAAATGGCGAAACTCATTTTTATTATTTTCAGGTGTTATAAGTACCTGGGCGGATGTTGAGTTGATTGGAAAGCATATATGAAAACGGAGAGAGATTTCGCAGCACATTTTCAGGTGTATACGGATTGAGTTGATTGAAAAAATTTATTAAATAAAAGTATTGGATTGGTTGGATAACAGTGATAAACAGGTTTCGGAGAATGGATTACACAACACAGTTGAGTTATTGAAAGTTTGAGAAACCACACACGATAAGAAAACTGGAAAATCAGAAAATCTTAAAAAATGGCCTTCTAATTGTCAACTTTGAGTAATTTTTTCTCGATTCCTGTCAAAGATAAAGGGACGTCATAAATTATGTCCCTGTTACGGTCCTTCACCTCCAGATGGTCCTATTGTCTTGTACGTTTTCTATGTCTTCACCTGTCAGCGTCCACGTAGCCGAGAGGATAATGTGTGCGGTTGTCGGACCATCAGGGGAATGGAAGGAACGAGTTCGATTCTCCCGGTGGTTTTCGACTGATGACGTGAGGAGGACCCCTCACGTCTCCACCGCATACTGTTAAGGCACGGTGGACGTCGCTGGAGGACCAGCAACAAAGGAACAAACGAAGGAACGAACAAAGGAAGGAGCAAGGGAATAGAAATGATAATTGATAATGTTCTGAATTGTGTGTTAAATGAATAAACAATTTTTTTTCCGAATTAAACAATCAGCGGTTTTTCCTCTAATAGACCGGCATAGACGACAAGTTTCTGTGTGTTCAATTATCTTATTTTCAGTCCAATTTACAACACAAACCTTTTTGGGAATTTAAAAATTTGAGATCATCAATTAAATCGGTAGGTCTGAAATAATATAGTACTCGTTTTTTTGTTGTGAATTCAAAGTCCCCTCAGCAATTGCCAGGTAATGGGTCTGAAGCCTCAACTTCCGAACACTGAAAACTATTTGTTTTTCTTGTACGTCTTGTACACCTTCACCTGTCAACGTTCACTTAGTTGATAGTGAGTGGATTGTACTGATTTCCAGACATTCTCCGATCTGATACCTCTTGAAAAGAGTCGAACCCTCATAATTGATAACCCTTACTATTAGACATACACGGACCCGAAAGCTTTGAAAAATCATTGAACTCTCCCTGAACCAAAGACTAACCTCTTGACTAATTCAAACGAGAAATGTGTGAAATCGCATCATCATCAGATAAGAATTTAGGTCTTCTAATTTTTCCTGCTCTCCCATCTCGTCTCTGGGGATGTTTGATTCCGGGAAGTTTGTGTTATGTACGTGTGAGTGACCATTTTAAGTGATCATACATTCATCTATCCTGCCAATTGTTTCAAAAAGTGTGGTTTTCACAGCTTCCTGCCAAACTTCCAAAATTCTGACCCATCCTTTCATCCTTGTTGTCGGCTTGTTCAAAATTCATATTTTCGGAATGTTGCCAATTTTTGACAGCTTTTGAAAACATTCCCCAAAAACCGTCCCATGGGTGTGGTTTGCCTTTTTTCAGTTGAACCCAATAAAGCTCGTTTAACTTTTTTTGGGTTCTCCGAGTTGGTGGGTCAAGAATCTTGCCATCAAAAACTGCTTGTAACACGATCTCTGCCTACATACATATACTCATATACACAACCTCATGCATGTGTGTGTGCCAACCAATTATTTCAGTGTGGATAAATCAAAAATTCCCAAAAGAATTGGTAACCAGAGACTTTCTACACTGCTTTCTTTTTTTTTTAGTTCTTTTTTCTTCAACTCCCTTTTCAGAAGTGGACTTTGGAACCAAGAAGTTCTGCTCACCTATTGGGGTCAGACAATAGACCTTATTGAATTTTGAGGGACGCCAGCAGCTTACCTTTTGCCTTTAGCTTCTTCTCCCTACTTTTTTCCGGACGTCTTCAAGAATTTTTTCTTTTCCTTCTGTTTTTTAGCCTCTTTTTTGAACCATGTCGTCATGAGAGATAGCTCTAATCGGATGTGACATTCTTTATGGGTATAGAAGGAGGGTATCCATCCTCTTCTAGTGTATTTCTCTAATTCAATTTCGAAAAAGTCTCCGCGCTCTTAATCAATTAGGCGGTCAAACGTCACTCTTCTTCTTCTTCTTCTTCTTCTTCTTCTTCTTCTTCTTCTTCTTCTTCTTCTTCTTCTTCTTCTTCTTCTTCTTCTTCTTTTTCTTCTTCTTCTTCTTCTTCTTCTTCTTCTTCTTCTTCTTCTTCTTCTTCTTCTTCTTCTTTTTCTTCTTCTTCTTCTTCTTCTTCTTCTTCTTCTTCTTCTTCTTCTTCTTCTTCTTCTTCTTCTTCTTCTTCTTCTTCTTCTTCTTCTTCTTCTTCTTCTTCTTCTTCTTCTTCTTCTTCTTCTTCTTCTTCTTCGG